CAGCCTCCCGTCTTTTCGTTAACGTTTATAATTTGAGCATCCATTCCTTAGACATGCTTGCCGTGATGACATAAGGAACTTCGTAAACGACGGTTACGATAGCGATTAACTTGCCATTTCTAGATTCGTGATACATCTTGCAGAAATTCGCGAGAGCCTTGGTGTACAATGGCTGCTTCTTCAGATTGAAACGCCGCAGCTGCGATGGTTTGGGCTCCAGTTGCGAATACCTCCAGAAAGGAAGACGAGGCAAATATTTTTCGGCAGAATGCACAGGGGACGGCAAGATTAGCCTGGTGCATATATATGGAAGGAGTCTGCTCCAGACTCCGATTGTCTTCACCCTAAGTTCAGACTCTGTCACAGGAACAGAACGTAGGAAGAACTGTCTGACGCCTCTGCCTACGCCACCTGAACGGAGAAGCGGTTATTGAAGATGAAGATGATGACATATCTTACGTCTGCCGTAGGCTTTTGAGTATTCACTCCGCTGTACTTTTTCGGTTACGTAATCCATTATCTTGGTCGTTGCTATTCTCTGCTCCAAGGTAGACGTTGAACTGTGAACTTAATAAATGCGAGGCTGAATTCTTTGTGTTGAATACTCAATCTTGCAATCACAACATAGACGCGAAGTTATTTTTTTCAGAAACTGTGATGTATTGCACCTAATAAAATTGATCAATAGATTTTGCCTGTCTTCAATTGCAATGAGACTGATTTTCCATCTTTGATACTTCGAATCATCGTCTAAACGATAAACTTTGTAAGGGCTATTTATGAACTGCTGCTAACTGTTCACACAACAGACCGGGTGATACCAAATCTCGCAATGAAGCTGTCAGTTGACGAAGTTTATGAAGTTCAGTGACTCTCAGACTGAAATTATCGCGAAGTGCAGCCATTGGCTCACAGAGCGTAATCCGCTACTATCCACGCCTCCGCGTCGACTTCGGCCTCGGACTGAAATTTCATCATCATAGCCAAGATCCCAAACGGCATTGCATCCGTGTTTAGGAGCCAAGTCGAAAACAACGATAGATCATTGATTGGCAACTCGGCGGCTGAGCGCTTGCCGCGCTGGATGTTCATTTGTTGGGCCATTTTGGAACTCATCAACGACGGCCTGCGTCTGTCATTCACATTTTCTGAACAAACGTGCTCGGTCACATATCGCCTGCCGGTCATCAAGTGCAAGCCAGCAAGCTACGAGGCTGTCCCATCGAGGTTTCACTCGTAAAGCCCATGTTCGGTCAATGTGTCCTTGGGCTTGTGCTGCGTGAGAAGAACTTTTAGCGCCCACAATTGATTCGTCGCGTTTCACGCACTCATCTGCTGTCAACGTTGATCCACATACTGTTCGGGGTTCGTTCCTCACGTCGTCAATCACGTTCTTGTTCCAGTCGGATACACTGTAGATTGCCGCGGATAAAAGTACGTTTTGATGTTCAAAATACTCTGCGTTTGATTGTTAGTTGAACCAAGTTTATTTCTATGGTATCACCATGTTTTCTTTAATACTGGTTAATGAGAAGTTATGCGTAAAGTTACGCAAATTAGTGACAACGCTTCCTCATTTTGTCAATCAGTTTGCACAGTCTGTCAAGCATGAAATTCGTCATCACG